TCGCTTTGATAACTTTAGCATTATTAAACTTTTTTTTCTTCTCTGTAGGGGTTACTATCGCAATGCAAATCTTTTGAGTAGAGGTGCGAAAAAATGCCACGGTTCCTTATGTCATTAGGCGCAACCTACAAGCATCCTTGAATCCTTTTAGCATTTAACGTTAACGCAACCTTTGCGTTTCATTTCGTTCTAGTGTTTTGAGTTTAACAACACACAACACAAAAACGTCCTTAGACTTAATTACATAACTGGATTGTGGAATCAGAGTTAGTGTGTTATGAAAATAATTATTTTGAGATTGGTGCAAAGGTAATATGATAAAATTGTCTTACATAATCAAAGTTTGACAATAAATTTGACCAAAGACGTGAACAACAGGACGAACGTTGAGCGTAATAATCATAATCGTTATATGCGCGTTGGAAACTTTGTGCGCCGCCACCGCGAGTGACTTGATGGCCGAAAGTTTCCGTGCAACTTTGCTGAAGACGTCGATTGGTCGCACCTGCTCGGTGAGCGCTAATAACAAATCGATTTACATATTAAACATGCACACACCATATCTACTTTTATTATTGTTTTGAAAAAAATTGGAAAATTATATTTTAAAACCAATTTTTTTCAAAAATTTAGAAAAATTTTGGTTTTTTGACAAAAAATTGTTGAAAATTTTGCCTGCTATTAATGAACTCCTTGCTGAAAAGGTGTCAGCGTTGTCTGTCATCTACTTCTGGTGTCGACTATCATAACTAGACAATTTAATTATAGTTTTAAAAAAGAATTACCAAAAATTTAGGTTTTTTACAAAAAAATTTAGGAATTTTTTGTTTTATCTTAAAATTTCTGCAAAATTTTGGAAAATTTTTAATTTTTTTGACCAAAAATTTTATTTCGGAAAATTTTAGGTAAAATATTATGGTAACAAAAAATTTTGCCAAAATTTTAAGTCATTTTATTCAAAAACAAACTCTGGAAATTTTGCCGATTTTTCTTATTTTGTTCACCATATCGACTTTTATTATTATTTTGAAAAAAATTTGATAATTTTATTTTAAAACCAATTTTTTTCAAAAATTTCGAAAAATTTTGTTTTTTTGACAAAAAATGGTTGAAAATTTTGGAAAATACTATTTAAAACTAAAATTTACCAAAATTTTTAAGCAAATTAGTCGGGCCACCCATAATTTTGCTAAAAATTTTGGATAATTTTGTTTTGAAGCAATTTTTTTTTTAAATTTTGAAAATTATTGAAAAATCAACTTTTTTTTGCCAAAAAAGCTTTCAAAAATGTTGATATAATTTTTTAGTATTTATTTATAACAAAATAAGTCCTATATTTTTCTGACAACTAAAAATTTTGCCAAAAATGTTGAAGATTTGAATTTTGAAAAAAAATTTTCCAAAAAAATTCCCAAAACTTTAAACAATTTGATTTTTAGTAACAAAAAATCAGTTTTTTAAAAATCTTGGGTTTGAATCTTGTTATTATTTTGAAAAAATAGTAAATTTTACTTCTCTGAAAATTCTTGCTTGTAAGTTGTAAGCATTGAAGTGCAACTTGAGGACACAATGCGAGAATACAATGCGCGAAAGAAGGGAGAGTCGGTCGCGCGGAATGAGAGCACATTTATTTCGATAAAGTGCGGAACGACGCCGGCCCGACCATAAAGCTCAAATAATGGTCGTCGTACTTTTACCTTTGCCGCGCTCGAGTGGAAGCCCGCCGACCGGAGGACGTCGACACGTACTGGGGGTGCTCTTGTAGGTCCACTAGAAGAGATAGTCCAATCAGTCTAATTCGAAGGCACACGGACCGACACCCGGGTCCTTTATGTCGGCCACTTTTCTGATCAGCCGGTTTTATTTTTCTGACCTTTAAAGCAAAAAAAATCAATTTTTGAACCAATTTAGTTATTTTACGTTAATTTGATTAATTAATATGCATGTTTAGGATGTAATAGATACAATTTACATAATTACACCTTAAGGACTTGATTATCCTTGGAATATATTAGTTAAACACAAGTTTTAATCGATAGTTTGTGTGTGTTACGCTTTCAGACAAAAACTATTCAAGATATTTTAACAAAACTTAACAATATTATAGTTTATAAATTATATTATAACATAGGGTGATTTTTATGGTAAAATTTTTATTTTTAAGGGGTGAAAATAAGGGTTGAAAATAGAAAATGCACATATTTGCATAAAATTGCCAAAAGTAAATAGTTGTAAAGTTAATTACATTGCTTGGTTATTTGTATTGCTTTGTGAATCCATTATCCTTGTAAACGAGAGTGCGAGAAGTGCGAGGACGAGCACAAAGTACACACAAAACGCTCGAATTCTAATTACACGCGTTCCCAGCTGCACCAGCACCCGTACTAGTTGTAGGTTATTGCATTTGCCGCCTTCTCCTCCGCCTTTGCCTAGTGCCGGGCCCGAAAATGCCAAAACGCGTTGGTTCCTATCATGCATGCTCTTGCGCGCATCCTTCCTTTGTTTCATATCCTTCATTCTTCCGCACACGTGCAGGCAGGCAGGCAGTAGACTCGCATTAAACGTTTAACCCATCACTGTGTACAGTGTTCATGCCCTGATATGTGACGGTGTGGTAACGTGTCAAGTCGTGAAGACAACACGAGACGAACGCCAGGACGCCAGGATGCATGCGATAATGGCGCCGCCTGCTATTAATTAACTCCTTGCTGAAAAGGTGTCAGCGTTGTCTGTCATCTACTTCTGGTGTCGACTATCATAACTAGACAATTTAATTATAGTTTTAAATAAGAATTTAGCAAAAATTTGGGTTTTGGCAAAAAAATTTTGGAAAATTTTTAATTTTTTTGTCCAAAAATTTTATTTTGGAAAATTTTAGGTAAAATATTATGATAACAAAAAAATTTAAGTAATTTTATTCGAAAACCAAGTTTTTCAGAAATTTTTTTTAAAATTTTGCAGATTTTTCTTATTTTTGACAAAAAAAAAACAATTTTTAGAACAAAATTTACCAAAATTTTGGATAAATTCTTTTCGGCAACTAAAAAATTAATAAAAAATTTGATCAAATTTTGGAAAATTTTTAATTTTTATGACCAAAAATTTTATTTTGGAAAATTTTTGGGTAAAATATTATGATAACAAAAAATTTTGCCAAAATGTAAGTAATTTTATTCAAAAACCAAGTTTTTCTGAAAATTTACTTGAATTTTGACAGATTTTTCCTATTTTTTGACAAAAAACAGTTTTTAGAACAAAATTTACCAAAATTTTAGATAAATTTTTTTCGGCAACTAAAAATTTTACAAAAAATTTGATCAAATTTTATTTTAAACTAAATTTACCCAATTTTTTAGTTTTTAAAACATTTTTTGCAAAAAAATACAATTTTCCTCAAATTTAACCTATAATTACTTAAAAACCAATTTCTAAAGTATTTAAACCAAACATAACCTAGTTTATACACAGGTCAGCCGTGAGTTAACCGGATGAAAAAGCTCGGTGAATGGAATTACGACGTTCGTTATTTTGAGCAGCCGGAGCTTTCACCATAGCTTGATGATGATGACGACGCCAGAACTGGGAAATCTAGGATTTTCCTCTCTCTTGCATTATAAAACGCCATTCCTCACCCCTGCGGGTCACATGTTTACATTTCGGTTTTACGTTTAAATTCCGAAATGCTCGACATTTTCTAAAAGTTCACAAAACACACAAAACACACAAACCTTGTGCTGTATTCACTCACAATTTTTACCACTCCCACAACGCACAAAATGACTCTAAAAGGTGAAAAGTATATTCCTCTAGTTTTAGATGATGTAATGTGAAAATGAAAATTTGCACGCGCGGAAACAAAAAGCCGGGCGGCGCGCGTGCACGTCATTATATAATATGGAAAATTCAATTTTCATATTTCCTGGTGATATATCGGCGAATTATGTTAATATTAAATATTAAACGCGCGTTACTTCCAGTATTAATACTTCGGCTGCTAAATCATCCCCTTAATACTGTTTGATTTATTCGGGCGCGCTCCTACGGCTCCGACGACGACCAACAGGCCACCCCCACACGTTTCCTTCTCTTCTACGTCGGCGACGATCTGCTGAATATCAAAATACCGCCGTTGCCACCGCCCGCCATTTGCTATAAATATTTTCCACTTACCCAGCAGTGTAGTGGGATCGTGTTACCTAAGAAAAAAAAACGACTCAAGTGAACAAGTGTGAATGCGCTCTTCGATTTTTTGCCCGGTTTTCTTCAGCGGCGCGTCGTTTAGTAGCAATATGCAAAGTGTGCAAAGAAAGCTAAACTGAATGAACTTTTTTTTTTCATCGCTTTTTACGAATTGCAAATGTATCGTTTTCGCTTTCATTGCGCCTGCGGCCAGAGGGAAAAACAGAGCTTTTCGTCGCGTCTGCACAAATCGCACATATTGAATCGAAAAAACGAAAAAAATGTGGATTACTATTGGGAACAACGTCAACATTTATTTATAGAACAAAAAAATTGATTTTTAAACGTTTTTTAAAATAAAAATAAAAATTTCACAAACAAATTTAAAAATAAAAAACATTTGTGTTGTTTTTTGTTTTACAGTTTGATAAATGTTTCAATTAAGCTAAATTACACTTGATTCAATCCGGATGTCGAGTCACCAGTGCCCGCCTTGACCTACACGTCTTCATCGCGTACACCTACACCCACAACACCGCACAGCGCACAAACAATTGTCGTCTTTAATTAACAATTAATTAACGATGTCGCAACGCTCGAATAAAAACCAGTTTACAGTCAGACGCGTTTGAACTCGTCAACGCGTAGCCACTAAAACATCGCAGTGCAACAATTAAAAACGCATCTTTTGTTCTCCGTGAAATTTACGAGTGAATACAAATAGTAATTTATTTCATTTGTGTGATCTTTGGCGACGTGTCCATTGTGTGCTGTGTTTGTTATCAGTGCGATCTGAAGGTGTTGTTTTCTTTTGAATATTTGTGCCGCAGAACACGGAAAAAAGAGGAGAGAAAAAAAGCAAAGAGGAGAAATCGTCGAATAGAAGAAGGGAATAAAGGCGAGGTGAAGATTTATCGCAAGCGTCGAGGGAAACGCAGGGTATAAACTGCGGAACGCTGGAGGCGGTCAGGCGACTGAGTCGGGAGCGGCGCGAGATGGAGAAACGTTGCATGTTTTTCACAGCGCTTGCGACCGCAACCATTTTTGCTGTGGCGATTTTATTCTTCATTATCTATACAAGTAACTGTTTTAAATATTTTTTTGTTGGTTTTTGGATGATTTTTTGTTGTTTTTTGTTTGACGGATTTTTAACACTTTTTAGACGTTTTTTGACCAAGTTTTTGTCATTTTTTCTTTAGTTCTTAATCGATTTTGACCAAATTTTGAATGGATATATATCTATTTAAGAATTATTAATAGTTTTTCATAGTTTTTGTCAATTTAAGATAAGTTTTTGATCATTTTTTGTTCATTTTTTCAGTCATTTTTGATCAATTTTTTTTCCAATCACTTTTTAGTAAATTGTGGTCACTTCTTATTAAGTTATGACCAGTTTTAAGTAATTTCAAACTATTTTGAAACACTTATTCATAATTTTCAACAATGTTTCATAAAATTTTGACTTTTTTAAAAAAAAATTTTTAATTTTTAAAATATTTTCGCCAATTTTTCCATAATTTTCTAGCTTCTGAAGACGTTTGCACTTCCCGCCGTTGTGTCCAATCCGCAAATGAATTAATGACAACCCTAGATCAGTCCGTAGATCCCTGCGTGGATTTTTACGACTTTGCGTGCGGCGGCATACGCCGGCTGCTCGCACAAGGTGAAAAACGACGCGCGTACAACGAAAACGAGGACAATTCCGACGACGCGAAAGCGAACGCCGTCAGGGACATGATCGAAGAGCCGCCGAATCCGTACGATACAAAAACGCTGTCGAAGATTAAAACTTTTTACCGCTCGTGCATGCACGAACCGACCGGCAACGAGACCTTCACCGTCTTGGGTGGCGTGACGGCGGACGGGATTAGGGCTGCGCTCCGGGATATCGGCGGCTGGCCAATGTTGGAACGCGGCAATTGGCGTGAGGACCGCTTCGATTGGATCACCACCGTGCACCATCTCGCACGCAACGGCATCCTTGAGGATATCTTCATTCAAACCAGCGTTCAGACCAATCAATATGATATTACAAAATATATTCTTTCGGTAAAAATTCATTTATCAATTTTGAATCAATTTTTCATCACAAATTTAAGTTTTTTACACATTTTTTGGAGAAATTTGATGTTATTGATCAATTTTCCACCGATTTTGATTAGTTATTACTCTGTTTTTTGTTATGTAAAGATACGCATATCAAATGACTATTTGGACGATGCCAGAATCAATACCGAAAGCGATAAGAAGTTACTCCTCGAATATTCGCTGGAAATAGCACTGTTTTTCGGCGTGGATCGCATGCGAGCCGAACGCGACTTGCGCGATATTATGGAGTTTCTTGAACAATTAAAAAGTAACCAATAACTCAGCGTAATTTATAGCGACAAGTTTAATTTGAACTTTTGTGTGTAGATTCGTCAGGCGACAAGAAGTAACGAAGCTATAAATGTTTTTAATCCGCGTTCGATAACTCAGCTGCAACACGACGTCCCAAATTTGTCCTGGCGTGCTTACATCAACGAATTGCTCGGTCCCGGGCTGGAATTAAGCGCCGACGAGTTTGTCAATGTGCCGAACGTCGACGAGCTCAAACGTCTCATCGATTTGCTCCACCGAACGCCGAAAAAGTTCGCACACAGCTTACGCTTTTTGCCCGACGCATGAAATAATCATGTCGTGTTTTAGAATCCTGGCGAATTACCTCTGCTGGCGTATTGTACAAACCTACGCACCTTATTTCATCGAAAAGGGAGGCTTACATGAGCGACTCGCAAAGTTTCCAAAGTTTCATTCACGCTGGAATCGTCGTGAGATTTGCTCAAGATTAATTCGCAAAACGTAAATTAATTTTTTATTATTAATCATTTTTCTTATAAAGAATTTCGTCTAGATTCAGAATCCATAATTCGTTCTTTTCTATCGTCTTTAGTTTACGAGATATTTGCAATTGAAAAATTGTGAAAAAATGAAAAATATTACAAATTAGTAATTTTAGACAGGATTTTGACACCTTTATGCTACAAAATTAATAAATATTATTATTTCATCTTATAAATAATTTTATATACTTTCATATTCTTTAATCCGTATGTGTCTATCTATTTTGGTTTAAAAGATATTTGGCATCAAAAATGTTGCAAAAGAGCAAAAACTCATTTTTCCACTTTTTGTTTCTTTATTTTCGACTCATTTTATTCTTCTAATTTCCATAAATTTTTTATAAAGTTATAAAGAATTTTTCGTAGATTCAGACTCTTTTTTCCGTTCCTCTCTATCACTTTCATTTTCCGAGATAATTGCAATCAAAATTCAATTTTTTTTATTTTTTTGTTATTTTTCTTAATTTTTTTTGTTTTTAGAATGGAAGACGCAGTGGAAACATGCTACGTGCATAGATACGTAACCGATGACGTGAAACGCGCCGCTAAAGAAGTCGTAGACGCAATCCGGAAGCAGCTTATTAACACCGCCGACCAACTGGATTGGTTGGACGAAGACGCGCGGCGTGTGGCGCTCGAAAAGCTCGCGAGTGTTCGAGACTACGTCGCCCACGCGCCACCGGACGCGCCGCCGACATGGCCGGAAGTTTACGAGCGCCTCGACTTTGCCGAAGACCGCTTCGTGGCCAACCTGAGGGCTCTACAGGCGGCCAACGCCGACATTAAGTATCGCAAGCTACGCCAGCCGGTTGTTCAGCACGAATATCGAGAGATAGAATATTCGGTCATAAATAATTACTTGGGTATGCAAATTTACAACAATTCCACACAATCAGCGATTTAGTTTAGTGTTTGGACACGAGTCTAGACGCTAATAAGTTAAAAACACACAAATTACAAAAAATATTTTTTTTAAAGTGGAGGCGCCGGGCAATAACACAAAGTTAAATATATTTTCCAGTGCTGCCATCTGATTATCTCCAACCATTTTACATCGATGCATCACGACCCATGTACATGAACTTTGGTCTTCTGGGAACGCTGATAGCCCATCAACTATCGGAAGTTTTCCTCGAAGGACGACGTTATGATTCTCATGGTGAACTCCGCGAATGGTCAACTTCACAAAGTCTCTTCAATTATGACAATAAAACACGTTGTTTAACTAAACAATATGAACAATTTCATGTGCCTGGATTCGGCCCTAATGTAAGTTGCGTTTTTTTTACGTTTAAAATCTGTTTCTACGCAAAATTAAATTTCGCAACGTGTGTACGGCCACATTATGCATTCCCTACATTTCGAAAGCAGGAATTCCGGAAAATACTCAACGCGCGCACCGAGTGCAAGAAGTAGAAACGCGGAAACGGCGATGTTAACACGTTCCCCACCGACAATTATAATCACAGCCAGTGCGAATATTAACGAACGTAACTTTTACGACGACATTAAAAGCGGCACATTCAAACAAATTCGAAACTTTTAGCAACAAAACTTATAAATTATAATAACATTTTAGGTGTTTAATATGATTTTTTGTAAATTTAAACTTTTTTGAAAGAGAAAAATCGAATTGTGGAGGCGCCGGGCAAGCAGAAACGAATTATGTTAATTGCGGCTTTTTAATGGCAACGACGGCGGCTTCTATTAGGTCGCTCGGTCACGTCCGCTACCGCCAGTGCTGGCGTTGCTCTCGCTCTTCATAATAATCATAAAATAAATCAGGAAACGTCCGGACGCGCCCGGATAGCAAAATAACTTAACTCGGGGAGCGGCGTGCGTCTGCGTTTTAAAGCCATCCGGCTATCGCAAGAAAAACGAAATTTATTTCCATACACGAGCGCTTCCTAACTGGCGCTACACTGTTATTGCTAATTCGGATTTTATATCGGCGAATAAAAGTCACTGGCGTCGAGTATGTGTCTTCTTTTTACGAGATTACTCACTCGCTATGTTTTTCGCGCTCAACGGTCAATGCACTAGGGGGAAAATTATTTGTATTTAGGTTTTTTGCAGAAAAAACAATTTTAGGAAGAAAATTCTAAGTCTGACATAAAATTCTAAGTCTGACAAAAAATTCTAAGTCTAAAAAAATTTTTCTAAGACTAAAAAAAATTTTAAGGCGGCAAAAATATTTTTGAAATGTGAAAAAAAAAATCTCAGTCAGAAAAAAATTTCTAAGTCTGAAAATTTTTATTCTGAGTCTAAAAAATTTTTTCTACGACTAAAAAATTTTAATGCGGCAAAAATATTTTTGAAATGAGAAAAAAAATCTCAGTAAAAAAAATCAAAATTCGAAAATTTTTATTCTGAGTCTCAAAAAATTCTAAGTCTCAAAAAACAAGATCTGGTTACTTTTTAAGAATTCAAAGATGTAATATTCATTGCAATGGTAAATTAGTCTTCGTAATTCAATAAAATATTTAATTAGTCCGCATGACCCACAATCCAATATTTGCCCGCTGCCTCCACGGCAGGCTTGCGTTAATAAATTACGAGCATCAACATGTTAATTTCGCGGCGCGCATAAATCAATCTCTTTCGAGCGCGCACACGTTGAACGCCCTAGCGTGGCGATGATTGCGGTCGGCGAAAGCAAACGTCTCAAATAATAGAAAACGACGCTCCACACTGCGACACCGCGCGCCCGCCAGAAATTTTTAGCGAATTAATCTCTCTCTCGCGCGGCGGGCTGGGCTGCGCTACGGTGTGCCGAGTCGAGTTAATTCCGTTTTAATGACTTTAATCTAAATGCGCGCCGTTAGACACGCGCGGCTCTCGCGACGTTTAAATTCATTGTGCACGCACATTCGTGTGAACGCCGAAAAGCGAAAAACCGGCGGCGCTAATTCCGTTTTTCACTGTCTGCGATTCGCAACCGGCGCGGCAACTTTTTGTTTGCAGACGCAACGAATGCCATCAATTAATATTTTACTGCGTCTCGCGTTACACATTCAGTGGGTTAATTTACCACTTCTACGGCTTGCGGACTTTTTTCCGCCTAAGGCAAGACGCCGGTTGTAATTGTATCACTGGACCAGCTTTGTTAAATATTAATTCTGTGGTTAACCGGCTTTTATTAGGAACTTTGAGAAAAATAATTTGTTTTTTGTTAAAACTAAACCGGGAATCAAATTTTTTAGTAAAACTAATGATAAACTTATTTTGAATCAAATTTTCCATCAAATTTTTGTCGAAAACTAAACAAAAACTAATTCCGAGTCAAATTTTTCTTCAAATATTTTTCTAATACAGAAAAATGCAGAGTTTGATTCAAATTTTTCTCTAAAACAGACAAAAAACTTATTTTAAATCAAATTTTCTATCAAATTTATTTCAAAAAGTAATTCTGAATCAAATTTTACTTCATTTTTTTTTAAACCAAAGCAAAAATGCTGTTGCTTCAAATTTTATTTCTAAAACTGCTAAAATATTATTTTGCATCAAATTTTTCTTCAAATATTTGTCTGAAACTAAAAATAATTTATTCTAAATCAAATTCTTCTTCGAATTTTTTCTAAAATTAATTCTGAATAAAATTTTCCATCAAATATTTTATAAAACAAATTCAACATAAAATTTTTCTTCAAATTTTTACTAAAACAGATTCTAAATCAAATATTTCATCAAATATTTTTTTAAACTAATTTTGCATCAAAGTTTTTATCAAATTTTTTCTTTAACTAATTCTACATAAAATTTTACATAAAATTTTTCTTCAAATTCTTTTCAAAACCAAACAAAATCAAATTTTTCTCCTATTTTTTTTTCTAAAACCAAATAATTTAATTCTGAATCTTAATTTTACTGATTGTTTAAGATAAATGCATCGGAAACTCAACTAGATGACGTCGCAGTGCTCTTCAGTAAATTAATCGCATACAAATCGTACATATCCTGGTTGGATTCGCACGAGTCAGAAGGACGCCTGCCAGGACTCCAGTACTCCACTAGACAGCTGTACTGGATCGCAAGCGCGATGGACGAATGCCACCGCCAGCAGACACCGCTACCGCCGCCACCGCCGCCACAATCGGCACGATCCATTTCGAAATTGCGCGTCGTGGGCCCGCTGCGAAACGCGGAGGACTTTGCGGAAGACTTCCGCTGCCCGATCGATACCTACATGCATCCAGCGGAGAAATGCGCGCTGTGGTAGTCCAAGAACCCACCCCCGGCGGCGGCGGACAAGTGCCGGCTCATTATGTTAAAGGGCGTCATTAATTAACCACGTCTTTAATGAACCGCAACGAAAACAAGAAGAAGAAAAAATTAATCAAAGTAAAAACTTATTTTTTCTCAGTTTTCTCTGTTTTTTGCTATGTATAAGATTAAAAAAAACATTTCACAGTTGGTAAAATTTATTTAAATCCAACTGACCGCCCCCATGATAACGGGCACGGTTGTTTAAACACGTTTTAATTAAATGAATGCAGAAACGCTTTTAGCGCAGTTTAAGTCGCGAATGTTTTTCATCAGCATCAGCTGTGGCGGCGGCAGAGGCGGAGGCGGCGTGTGCATGTCGCGGAATGCGGTGCGGAGCAAGTGACCGGAAAGTTTCGCCAATTAAAACTCGACGGGAGCGCACGCCAGCCGCCGCCACCACCAGCATAGCATACGAATACTACTGCCGCCTCCACCGCCTCCGAATTAAGTGCATGCCATGCAAGTGCTCGCTTTACGTCTATATCTTTTCTCTATTTTCTCTATTCTCGGTTTACTTTCGTAAATGATCAGAGATCAAATGCCGCACAGAGAGAAAAGAGAAATTAAAACGCTGACAACATAACCTCTTTTTATTACTAGTATCTGGTGTTTGTCACACACAACTGCGCTAAGCGAAAGTGAGGTTATGGCGCTGTTAAGCTTTAAGCGAGGGGGAATCCGCGATGCTTGTGACCCTCTTGAGATGCGACAACTCACAACTCTCGGCATAACCTCCGCAACCCCAAGTTGTATTTAATTATCTCGATTGACGATAAAACACACATAATCATGCGACACATCATCCCCTACCGTTTATTCACAGCTGTTCGCTTGGGGTGCTGCTGGAAATCAAACAAAAATGTAGGAATCACTGACGGGGAAGATTGTGGAGGGTGCTAAACGTACTAAAAATATCCGTAGGGGTGCAAAGTGCAAGCGTGTCTTATCAAGAGTGTATCAGGTATGGGTGGTGGTTAATTTTTGCTTCATTTGTCACGAGCACGTGCACGTGTGGTTAGGGGAGAGTTTACACTAGTTTTAATTAAGAAAAGAAAAAATGTTTTAGAAAAATTGGAATATCTTTTTAAGTAGAAGTCGTAGAGGGTTAGTTAATATGTCATTTTAAAGAGAATTTATTGTTCCATCTTCATACAATATCAAATTTTTAATATTTTGTCAAATATTAAATAATAATAAAATGTAAAAAATGTCTAATTAAATGTTGAAAAAATGTTTTTAGAAAAATTTAAAGATCTTTGCAATTAAAAATCGAAGGGAATCGTAGTTTTAACTATCCTATCTTATAGAGCATAGTCCGTAGATTAAGACGCAGCGATCAGATCTTATTTATCCCTTTTAGTTTACGAGATATTCGCGATTTAATAAAATGGGCAAAATTGCAAAATGTCACTTTTAGCACTTTTAGTCGCATTTTCGACCTTTTACTGTAGGAAATATAATTATTTTATATTTTTATCTGATTGAGAATTTTCCAATCTATCATAATCAACAATTTGTTGCTAGCTATCTCTTTTAGTTTAAGAGATATGAATTTTTGAAAATCGTCGAAAAAAAGTATCAAGCACCCCCCCTTGGCAATTTTTTCTTAAGACTTAAAATTTCATCTCTCAGATTTCCCTTTTAACTATCCTATCTGATAGAGATTGGTCCGTAGATTAAGACGCTGCGATCAGATCTTATTTATCTCTTTTAGTTTACGAGATATTCGCGATTTAATAAAATGGGCAAAAATTGCAAAATGTCACTTTTAGCACTTTCAGTCGCATTTTCGACCTTTTGCTGTAGGAAATATAATTATTTTATATTTTTATCTGATTGAGAATTTTCCAATCTATCATAATCAACAATTTGTTGCTAGCTATCTCTTTTAGTTTAAGAGATATGAATTTTTGAAAATCGTCGAAAAAAAGTATCAAGCACCCCCCCTTGGCAATTTTTCTTAAGACTTAAAATTTCATCTCTCAGATTTCCTTTTAACTATCCTATCTGATAGAGATTGCTCCGTAGATTAAGACGCTGCGATCAGATCTTATTTATCTCTTTTAGTTTACGAGATATTCGCGATTTAATAAAATGGGCAAAAATTGAAAAATGTCACTTTTTAGCACTTTTAGTCGCGTTTTTCGACCTTTTACTATTGGAAATATAATTATTTTATATTTACAGCAATTCGTTCAGTTGCTATCGCTTTTAGTTTAAGAGATATGAATTTTCAAAAATCGTCGAAAAAAAGTATCAAGCACCCCCCCTTGGCAATTTTTTTCTTAAGAATGAAAATTTAATCTCTCAGATTTCAGTTTTAACTATCCTATCTTATAGAGAATAGTCCGCTGATTAAGACGCTGCGATCAGATCTTATTTATCTCTTTTAGTTTACGAGATATTTGCGATTGAATAAAAAATCGTCAAAATTTGAAAAATTTAAATTTTTTTGCACTTTTAATCATATTTTTCTGCCTTTTTGCCCTACGATATTATAGTTTATTCCGAAAATATATAGAATCAAGTGCCTTGTGGCAAGCATCGCACAATGAAGAGACGAAGATAATAGAAGACACTGTATATTTGTGTTCTCTTATTTTCTCGCAGGCTAAACCATATAAACGAATACGTTTATTTTTTTTTAATGTCGTTTCATTAATTTTTAAGTCACAACGATTTTAAAGAAGTTTTCACTTCAAAAATGTCAAAATATAACTTTTTTGAGTGTCGAGCAAGTATTGAAGTCAATATTTTACCGTTTTAGTGTCCGTATTGATTGATTCTTACCATTCATCAGTTTTAACTGTCCGCCTATTATCACGTTACCGCAGTTGTGTGCTACTAAATTACCAACATGGCCGCCCCGCTTGTCAAAGCGCCACATTCGTACACATTGAGCAAGCGCTTTCCGAATAGCCCGCGCACAATATTTGCATGACGTTGTTTACATGCACACACAAAATGGCGGAGGATGTACGGAAAGAGGATATGTGCCATGGACCGAATGAATGCAAGCTGACCACCGATCGAAAATCCATATACAAATCGTCGGCCGGCCGTCAACATGCTCATAGATATTAATCAGAATTTATAACGAAATCAATTGCAGCCGGGGCGCCGCCAGCGGACCACTGTGTGACAGTTGCCGGAAAGTGGCGAAGAATGGTTTTAACGAGCCGGATGCCCCAAGAATAAACGCGGGGACCTCATTGCGCCGGATCGCTTTTGGATGCCGGTCGGGCATTAATGGCCAGGATAATAATTTCGGATTTCATGCGCGTTATGTTTTATGTGCGCATTGTATTGTATTCGGCGAAATATGCGTACCCGGAAAATTGGATTAAAATTGATCACCATTGGTTTCAGTTGCACTCGGGGTGAATCAAAAAATTCTTTTGAGAAATTGCGTAGATATTTTTATGTTTTTGGATGAATGTGAATAATCCGAGGTGAATTGATAGAGCCGGAAATGATCCGTCCACGACAAGCTTATTAAAATAAAGCCACTGCGATATACGTGAGGCGGCTATAAATCAAAATCGTAAATCACATTCGTTTGGGCTTACACACAAACCGCACACGTTTGTGAGTTATTAACCGGGCACGCGAGCTTTTAGGTATTTCGCCAATTAGCGTACGCAATGCTGCCACGACAACGTTTCCGACTGACAAGTTGGGATTTATTTCCATTGAATCTTGCATCAGTTCAATTTCTGTTCAACATTTTGTCACGTTTGACTGTTTTATCGATTTTTTTAACACAAAATTAAGTTTTGCTCAAAATTTACATGAAAATTTTCAACTTTTAAAAAATGTTCAACTACTGGGTTTATAGAGAATTTTCCGAAAATTAAGTATGTGAAATCCGTTTTTGTCTATCTCCTTTTGCTTACAAGATATTCGCAATTAAAAAAATGGACAAAAATAGAAAAATTTTACTTGATTGCATTTTCGTTGCGTTTTTGGAACATTTACTCAAAGAAATATAATTATTTTATCATCCAATCTTATAGAGAATTTCCCAATCTTTCATAATTTTCAATCCGCTAGACGTTATCTCTTTTTGTTTAGAAGATATTCATTATCAAAATGCTCGAAAAACATTACGCATAACGCTTTACACATTTTTTCTTATCAATTATTTTTTCATTTATATATTTTCAATTTTACGTTTATCTTATAGAGAATTTTCCTAAAATTAAAAATTTGAAATCCGTTTTTGTCTATCTCCTTTTGCTTACGAGATATTCGCAATTGAAAAAAATGGGCAAAAATTGAAAAATTTCACTTGATTGCACTTTCGTTGCGTTTTTGGAACATTTACTCAAGGAAATATAATTATTTTATCATGCAGTCTTATAGAGAATTTTTCAATCTTTCATAATTTTTCATCCGCTAGACGCCATCTCTTTTCGTTTAGAAGATATTCATTATCAAAAATTCTCGAAAAAACATAACGCATTTACACATTTTTTCTTATCAATTATTTTTTCATTGTTAAATTATCAATTTAACGTTTATCTGATAGAGAATTTTTCGCAAATTACGAATTGAAATCCGTTTTTGTCTATCTTCTTTTGCTTTCGAGATATTCGCAATTGAAAAAAATGGGCAAAAATTGAAAAATTTCACTTGATTGCACTTTCGTTGCGTTTTTGGAACATTTACTCAAGGAAATATAATTATTTTATCATCCAATCTTATAGAGAATTTCCCAATCTTTCAAAATTTTCAATCCGCTAGACGCTATCTCTTTTCGTTTAGAAGATATTCATTATCAAAAATGCTCGAAAAACATAACGCATAATGCTTTACACATTTTTCTTATCAATTATTTTTTCATTTATAAATTTTCAATTTAACGTTTATCTTATAGATAATTTTCGGAAAATTAAGAATTTGAAATCCGTTTTGTCTATCTACTTTTGCTTACGAGATACTCGCAATTGAAAAAAATATGGGCAAAAATAAAAAATTCACTTTTTAGCACTTTTAATAAGGTTTTTGGACCTTTTACTTCGGGAAATATAATGATTTTATAATATTAGTTTATAGAGAATTTTTCAATCTTTCATATACTATAATTCGTTGTTAATTATATTATTTAGTTTAGAAGATATTCGCTAAAAACTAAAAAATGTGCATCTTTTTGTCCTTTTCGAAATTTTATTTCCTATATTTAAATTCGTATAAAGGTGCAAAAAACATAAACAATTCGTGAAATTCTAAGCCTAATGGAGATGATTACCTGCGTTTATGTGTCATTTAAATTTTGCGCATCTTTTAACACGTTTTTGTTCTTCGTCTTTTTTTTATTACTTTGTTTCAAGTCTTTCACGTTTTTATTTCTGGCGTGCGTCTGCGTGCGTCTGGCCCTCATGAAAAATGTACATCTTGCTACTTGTTTTCGTGTATGAGCTCGCTTTTTGTTTTATGTCCGGCGAATTAAATAAATTACGGGCATGAAATATATGACGTATGAAAAATAAACCTCTTTTTTGTAGGCCCTCGTTCGGCTTTCCTTCCGTGCGCATAAAGCGGATTGCTTTAAAATGCTTTTTATCCTTTGGGCCATTATAATAAATGGATGGCGTCTGCACCGCGAACGGGCAAGTCGAAACACTGCACACTGAAGAAATATTTAAAAGCTTTAACAGCAACAAAAGGCAAAAATGCGGCGCGCTTTTTGTCAAAACTTGTATTTTTCTAAATTCAGTCTATTTATTTTAGTAGCTCATGTTCAAGTCATCATAACGCCGAAATCAAAAGACGTAGAATAATAAACAAAATGTTTACAGAAAGAAAATTTAATTCCTAATAATCCTGAAGAGTTTTGATGCTATTTACAAAAAATTGCGAAAGTTATACGCATTTTTGTAAAAAAATGATTTTTTTCGATTTTATTCAATTTATTTTAGTGACTCATTTTTAAATCCCCGTAAATATGCAACAAATAGTCATAAAATAATAAAATATACATTTATATAAAGAGAATTTAATGTAGTATAACTTTAATTTCTTTTGAAGTCACAAACAATAAAAAATAAAATTTTACCGTGGTTTTTGTCGAAAGTTGTATTTTCTTTAAATAAATCTACTTATTTTGGTTGTTGATTTTTAAGTTCTTATAATTCAGC